CAAGGTCTGAGTATTCTGAGAGGGCTGCCTTTTCTAACCTTTCAGCATGAGGTCCCTTATTATGTTAAGACAGAGTTTCCAGTTGTTATCTTGTGGTTCTCAGTCTGTCCAGAGAAGTTGACAATCCCTAGGCACATGGCCCTACTAAGGACAGGGTTTACACTAAAAGCAGCAGGACCTTTGTAGGGGAGAAAAGGAGAGATTCACATGCACATAAATCCATGCAAACAATAAGCACAACACTAAGCACCCAACAACTAGCACCCAATGGAACCACAAGTGACACCACCAACCTTGGACTAGACATTGCCATAGATAGATACTCTGTGTCACTCAACATCTGTCTTCATCTCTCACGCTGCCCGAGCGAACACTAAGAAAGGTGATAAAAGATGTTCAATGTCACAACGAACGCAGGCAAGGCCAAGACATGATTTTTTTTAGAACTTAATTCACTCTCTTTGCCAAAGTAATGCCTGTTTACTATAGAAAATTTGGAAAATACAGATAAGCAAAGAAGAGAAAATCTCACAAATCCCATTCTCCAGAAATAAACAGTTTAATATTTTAGTGTATATAGGGATTCAGTCCTTTTCTTCTGCATATATGTTTTAGCTTTTTAAAATGGGCTCACAGGAGGCATGCTGATTTGCAATCTGTTTCTCCTACTTTTTTCTTTAACTGTGACAGTTTTCCATGTCATTGCACTGGGTTCTATTACCTAATGTTTAATGGCCAAATAGCTCTCAGTTGAATAGCTACACCACAATTTATTTAACCAATCTCCTATTGCTGAACTTTTTAGCTTGTTTCCAGTTCTTCACTTAAATGCAACCCTAGGATAAATGTTCTAAAAACTGAATCTTTGAGCATCCAAGATTATTTTCTTCTAGTGAACTTCTGGAGATGGAGTAACTGGGTCATGAGGGATGCAAAGGCTTTAGGTTTAACAGTCTGCACAACTACTATCTCATTTAAAGGAAAAAGCTGGGACGGGGATATGGGTCAGTGGCAGAGTGCTTGCCAAGCATTCATGAGGCCCTGGGTTCCATCCCCAGCACTACAAAAAAAAAAAGGAAGGAAAACTGGAAAGAAAAAGTTTACATTTGCACATTTATAGAGCAAATATGCAGCCCAAACCTTTAGGGAGGGCTCTGTCTCCATAGGCATCACTCCCACTGCTGGAGATAACCCAGCACGGGTGGTGTCACCTTGATTCCACACAGGAGGCCCCCAGGGTTCTGCAAGGTTCAGACACATGGCTAGCAAGTGGTGACTTAGGATCAGGACTCAGCTGTGTCTGAAGGTAAAGCCTGTGTTGTTCCCATACTTTGTCCTCTTGGCTTCTATTTATTGAGGCAGAGAAGCACTTCTCAAGGGCTTTTTCCGAAGGGTCTGTCTATAGGGAGCGGGGGTGGAGGAGGAGCTGGCTGAAGTATCAATATTGCAGATACTTAATCCAACCAAACATGACGTCTCACTGGCATCGCGGTCCAGTGCTGGGGCAAGGGTTGCTCCTGTAGTCATCCAGGTACTCGGGCTCCTTCCATGTAAATTCCATGACCTTCTAGGGTCACTGACAGGAGGGTTGTCTTGGGGTGGGAAGGGCAAGCCTGGAAATGGAGCACATCCCTTCTCCTCATATTCTGTTGGCTAGAATTCACCATGACCACACTTTGCGGGATGTAAAGAGCCCAGGAAGGAGAGAACAGAGATACTAAGCACACTGTAGCTCACAGGGTAGAATAAAATGAGTTTGTTTGTTTTCCCAGCCCTCAGTTAACTAGAAAAATCTACAAATCCCTTGCTGAAACTAATATGGAAGTTTAGTATGGATATATTGGAGTCCACATCCACATCAGTGCCAGTTCTGATCTCATAGCTGTGTATCTTTGGGGATAATAACAATAATAACAGCTGACGGTTATTGAGTGCTCTATGTAAGGTGTGGAGTGAGTAGTTACGCACTCAAACTTTGGAGTCAGACTACCTAGGTTCAGATTCCAGTGGTCCCTTGTTAGCTGTGTGACCTTGGGCAAGCAACTGAACCTCTCTGTGCTTCAGTTTCTTCATCCATAAAATAGAGCCAAGATAGGAACTTGTATCAGAGTGTTGGTAAGGATTAACTGTGTTGTGCCTGTAAGTGAGCTTAGAACCATGTGTGAATCAGAGCAAACCATACCTAAGTTTTAGCTGCTACTGTTGGGCTGGTGTGCCAGTCATTGTGTGAAGTGCTTTGAAGTTATTAGACTTGTGGTTTCCTCCTCCACAAAGTGGGGGAGGGAGTACAACCCACAGGGCTGTTGTTGTGATGAAGCGAAGTCATTTATGGAAAGCAACGCCTGGCATCTGGCTGGAGTGAGCTGCTCCGTGAACAGCAGACGCTGCTCGCCTCCCCCACGTGCTCAATTCATCAAGGTTTGCCGGCCGGCACAATTGTCTCACCCTGTGCTGCTGTCGGAAGGTCACTGACGACAATTCTGGTGCTCATTCAGAACGGGCAGAGAGAAAAGAATTCTATAAGCAAAGCTGTCTCCCATGTGCACCTCCCGTCCCATTGTGCGCGGGGGAACGTGGTGTCGCATGCACATTATTCCACTCCCCCGCAACACCGTGCCCTCCCCCCTCCGCTCTATTCAGCATAGATTAAAAGGCACTGCCTTTCCCAGCTGCCTTTCTGAGAGTCTTCCTGCCCACAGGGATCCCAGTGCAGGAGGCAGCCCCTGGGAACCCCAGGGGATTCTCTTGGGAGCCAGGCAGTAGCCTGGCCCTGGCCACCACCCGGGAGTCTGGCATGGGATGCAGTGCCCACAGCTGCCTTGAGTCTGCTGACACGGCCCTCCTGCCCTAAGATGCCCAGGAAGGGTCTCTCTAAAAAGAACCTCCAGAGATCTAGGTCCTGGTCACCTTCCTGTGTCTGCCCCAGCCCCAACCTCTATAGGCACCTTAGTTCAGAATCACCCTCGGCAACAAAAGCCAAATGACCACATTGGTGCTGATGTTGTTTTGGCTCACCTCAGCCCCATTTTTCCCTGGAGTTCAGTAGCTCTAAACTGTCCCACTTCCTGTCTTGTCCTTGGAAAGAGTCAGGGTCTATCTGTCTTTCAAGACCAGCAACCCCATTCCTACAAATAGACCACAAGCACACAAGGTCTGGAAGTTCACCAGCACCTCTACTATAGAGCGCCATCTCCCCTCTCACTCATTCATTCATTCATTCATTCATCCGTTCACTTAAATATTTAGATGATTAAATAAATCTCTAAGTTAATATTTACTGAATGCTTATGTCTGGTCACTGTACTTGGTGCCAGGAATACAAAGTCTAATCTAACACATTTCTGCGTTCACAAAGCCACCAGTAAAGTGGGAGACAGAGAGGACAGGGACCAAGGGACAGGTAGCAAAGGAAGAGAGGGATGATTGAGGAGCACCAAGGGGAGAAGCCCCCTAGCTTGAGGGATCAGCGAAGCTTCCCAGATAAGGGAGTGCCTTGCTGGGCCTTAAAGGATGAGGGGACTCAGTTACACATATATAGGGTGGGTTTCTTGGCAGCAGAGAGAGCACAGGAAGGGGCATGGAGGGCACAACAGCAGGCACCCATTGGGAACCACTGGACTGTTGTTCAGGGTGGAGAGGGGAAGGGCAGGGCTGCAGCAGGTGGGCTGGTGCAGGTCTGGGTGTGGCGGGGACAGCTCAGCCAGGTATTCCCAGACCTTCCTCATCTCAATACCGAGGGTTCCACTTCCCTGGGACCCACTTGATTCTGGGTGAAGCAGGGAGATTGGCCACCCTACTCCAGTTCCTCTTTGCATGCTTAGAAATTTTGCTCAGATAACAAGAAGTCAAGAAAAAGTCATAAGCAGGCAAGTGACATGATTGGATTTGTATTTATAATTTATACAAAACCCTGCTCCTCTACTTTCGCCATGTGAACAGGGGTATGCCCTCTTTCAAGAGCATCACACCATGAGGCTTGTGATGTCCACCAATGCCTTTCCACCAAATGGAACATCCTGTCCACACCCCCCCACACACTCCTCATGGTAACCTGTTCAACAGCACTGGCCCTCCTGAGCAGCCCATGAGATCACAGAACATGGAAATTCTGAAGAGAGCTCAAGCATGTCAGCATTTTCCTAGAGCACAATTTCTAGCCAGTGCCTTCCAGCCTTTAGAGCCATGGAGACGATGTATCTAATGCGAGGGAACAGCAGTAGCCTAAGGAAATCCAATACGGAGAGAATCCCACTGTAACAAGCTTGACAGATATCAATGCTGCTGTTTTGTGTTCAAATCTCATTAAGGCTGACCAGACTATTGCCAGAGTGGTGAGGAGACATGCTCTATTGTTTATTAGTTTTATTTTGTTTGCATAAAAAGATTCCAGTTACATGGTTAATTGCAAACAACACAGCAACAACAGGGGGTGAGGAGAAATAGACAAAAGGGATGTTTTGTGCAAGAGCCTGGAAGGTAAAAGCCATCAGGGCAGAATTCAACTCTTCTGCAATGGTAGCCCATGATATTAATTGTAAAAGTCTATTATATATGTCCATAAATAAAGACACTAGAGCTACTCAAGATATTCATTAAGTCTGTTTTGGAGATGGCTCGTTGGGGATTTGGAAGAGCTTGTTAAATTCTTGGTGCTGGTGGAAGCGCTGTTGGCAGGTGTGCAGAGAGCAGCCGGCTGGGCTCTTTGCACAGACAGGGAAGCTGTAAGGAGGAGGATGGGTGGGGGTGGGGCGGGTTTTGGAGGAGTGCTGGGAAAGGCAGGCAGACTGAAGTGAGATGGAGTGAAACCCTCGAAAAAGTGTGCCCTGGGCTCTGTCAGCTCCCCAGAGATGGCAGCTCCAAGAGGCACTGGGGGAGGGAAGGTTGTGGGCAGCAGAGCTGGGCCAGCCAAGGAGGTGTCCCCACCCTGAGGAGGTTACCACCCTCTCTGGTCCTCCCAGCTCTGCTCCTTCCTCTAAAACAGCCACTGGGCAATCTGTGCAGAGCACAACTAGAAAGTGCAGAGAAGATGGATATTTTCTAGCAAATCAAGTGTGAAATCCAGACATGAATTTCTTTGAAATTTCACTGGGGATTTTCACAACCAAGGTCATTGTTTCGTGGCCTCCCTTCCAGGTAAGAGACCTCATTCTTACTCTGAATAGTTCTCTCTCTGGCCCTCTTGACATTTCCATCTTATCTAAGCCCTGAGTGGCTCCACACCCTCTCACCAGGAAACTCCTTTGCCCTTGTCCCCACTCTGCCCGGGTAGGGAGTCAAGGGAGGCTGAGAAATCTGCCCAAGATCCCAAGCAAACAAGGAGAGAAGCCAGGGCTCCAACTCCAGCCAAAGCAGAAAGTAGACACACTTCACTCCCTCCACATTCCTGGCACTGAGGCTGGGGCTGGGCAAACTAGAGGAACACCACAAAGCCTCTGCCCTCAGGGAGCTCAGTCTGGTGCTGACAAACCTCCTGCCCTCGGATCCAGGAGTCTCAGAGCTCCCTTAGCATGGCTTGGGACATGTGCTGATCACCTATTCTTTTGGAGCAGACCTTCAAAGTCAACGTCAACCCTGTCCTCCACTAGACACCTAGCAGCTACGGCACAGACAGTCGGTTTTACAAAAAGGGACATCTCCGCTGTGAGAGACACCCCACCCACCACCCGGCTTTCCATCTGCCATTTCAAAGGCCCATCCAAGCGAGATGCTTCCACCACAAGCAGCCCTATCATAGCCAATTGCAAGGTGCTGCTCTTTATTAAAGGTGCAGGCCATTTCCACTAGTGACGCCTATCAGCAATTCGGTGCGTGCACACGGCACTGCCACCCTGTATCTGCCAGAGGACTGATAAGGTGCCTCTCGTTGGGTTTTGACAAGCAGCAGCATGGGAGGATGCATCAGAGGCCCCACCAAGCCAGGGGCATGTTGCCAAGGAATAGGCTCCGGGGTGGGGGGAACAAAGAGGACCAAAACAATATCTCAAAGCAAGCAGTGAACCCTGAAAGTGAGAATGAGGCAGGCAGACACACACACACACACACACACACACACACACACACACGCAAAGAAAAGCTCAGCCTCGGATTTCTTCTAGCCCAAAAGAGTTCATTGCAACTTGGAAGTCAAAAGATAACTGACATGCGCGCGGGGGGGGGGGGGGGGGGG